TCGCTCAGTCTGGTAGTATCGTCCTCATCCTCGTCCCCCTCATCAGACAACACAATCGGTGATTGAACGGTGTGACCAACTCTCGTTCTGCGCTCATCTAACTTCTTTTCCTCATACTTTGCACGAGTCGCCTCTCCGTCATGGTCCTCATTGCATCTAATCCCTTCATGTATAAAATGCAATCAGTTAGCAACGCGATTATATTACATTTAAAATCATGCAACGAAAAAAATGGCTTTCAAGCACTCACTGGCACATAATGCAACAACATGCTCGTTCAAGACATACATCTGTACTCTTGTCTCCTCCCTTGCCTCCTTGCTTGCTCTCTCCTCCTCTAACACCCTTCGTCTCTCCATTCCTCATTTGTCAAGTCCAACATCGATCGGGTTACGAATACCGCGCTGTCTAGCAAACTCACACATCTTGTCTTTGTGATGTTTAACGAATAGGTTGACGTAGTTAGGTCCATATCCCCTCTTCCGTGTAATTACTTGCCTCTCCTTCAGTTCATCCAAGAATTTAGCTTGACCATCATAACATTCCCACCTATATTTCCTAGTGCTCTGTTCAAACGAAAAATTATATCATATATGTCTTAGCAAAAGAAACAAAATACAATTTCATGTTTACCACAAAATATAACCAACCTCATCATAGTCAACCATATGGCCATAATAATGGCCTGCTCCAAAGGGACTAGGCCATAGTTGGATTTAACACCACATTCGCACATGACAGGAGGCGCTTTGTAAATTACCTTTTCTTTCTTCTTTTCCTTAACCTTTCGCGGTTCTTCCGGTCATTTGTTCTTAGGACCATACAACCACTCCTTGAAACCACACTTCACCATTGAAAACACCTAAATAAGGTGACATTAGTATATGAACACATATAGATCAATATTTCAACATATACACTTTGCACTTACTTCATGCTTGTTTGGACACACAAACTCCAACGTATTCTTAGGGTTTATCACAACTCGATCTCCGCAATCGCACAGAGAAGGTTCTTCGAGTCGTCTAACTGCGGCTAGGTGCTTCTCCTTAGTCGTCATTAGCGGAGGGTTAGGGAGGGTGGAACCCACCGCTTGAAGTTCTCACGTGGATGTCTCCCTCTAAACCAATCGTTGAAAAGGAGGTACCTAGAATCAAACTTGTCTGCACCGTCGATCTACTAAAAGAAAAAGCACCTCTCATAGTCCTACACAACAAGATTCCAACAAAATATTAGTAACCTAGTAATACAAATGAAGAAAAAAAACATATGGAAACAATTACTTACATTAAAACGACTGCATGTGTAGAAGCAACGAGCCGCTGTGTTCGGATGTCTCGATTGAAACACGTCGGCCAGACGACCACAGTCACAGTTAGAGACAGGGAGGTCAAGAGAGACAGGGGCATCTTTGCTAGACACGTCGGTGTACAATTCTCTAGGACAACCCCGTTTTCGCCACAACTGCTCCCAAAACATGTCTTCCATCTAATAAAATGGTTTAAATTAAACATCAATCAAAACAACGTAAATTAATGTAAAATATAATCATTTGTATTGCAACTCAAATAATATAACCAACACTTATAGCAACAAAAATATACATGGTAAACATACTTCTAACTAAATAATTAACCTTAACATCGACAAAATCAAACTAATATTTTTCTCCAAACCATAGCCCATAGTTCCCAAACATAATTTTTCTCCTAACCTTAACTGCCATTCATAATATTTCAATCCACCATTCAAACGAAAATAAAAAGTGTGTCATTACCTTGAACGAGGCCGAGGAGGGAGAGAGGCGGCCAGGGAATGGAAGGGAAGGGAGGGAGGGAGGCGGCAACAGAGGGCCGGGCGCCGACAGCTCTTGGGAGTGACGGGCAGGCAGGCGAGCAGGCGCGGCGGACAGGCGGCCAGGTGCGGTAGGCAGGCGGGACTGGGCCGCGGGCCTTTAACCGGCTCTGCCGCGCCACCGATCAGGGTGCGTCACTGTCGCGCCAAGATCGGTGGCGCGGCAGACCCTGCCACGTCACCGGTCAGCGCCCCGATCGTCGCCACGTCATCCCTCTCGCCGCGCCACCATGCATGGCGCGGCATAGACGTTTCGTCGCCCACGGGAATAGACATGGCCAAAAGTGTTAGTTTTGGAGAAAAAAAAATTAAAACAATGTTGATTTAAAATTAGTTAAAAAAAAGTGTTAAAAAGGGACGTAGCTTCGTATAAAAAAGAACTGAAAAAGACATGTCTCCGTCTGCAGCGAGCGAGGCATGCGTATTTGTTCTCACTTCACTAGTCAGTAGTCACTACTCTAGAAACATTTTGGACAGACTGAGTGGTCGATCAACCCAAAAAATGGTTACTTTCGTAAGTGCAAGTTGCAGGATTACTGAAAAGCTCCTATGCAGTTAGCAAAGGCTGAATATGGATGGGTTTTATAGCCATTTCAGTTAAGTGAGAGTTGATGTACCACCATTTTCAGCTGTTCTTCATTTGGATACCAGTTACCACATCACAGAGACACAGATTCAGAGTTCTGTCTGTGTTCATTGCGTCTGCAGAAACCACGCACGCATGCATATCACACTCCCATCCTGGCTGTTAATAAGTTGCTGTCCTATAGCTTTATTAGGCTGCAGATAGGCCCATAACGTTCAGAGACGTGTGCCCCTTTCGCGATGGACAGGTTGCTCTGCGTTTTTCCCATCTGTTATGTCCAACTTCGCAGGAAAGCGATCCCGCCTACTGCTAATGCCACTGGTTTCGCTCGCTGTCGACGCTGCCAGGCGTCCACACACACACACTGCTGCTGTGAGTGCTGTCTGTTTAAACGGATTTACGTCGCTGTTCTCGCTGCAACTGCTACTCCGTGTCCCAGCCCACTTGCTGCAGGCGACAATGGAATCGAACCTAACCTTTGTCAACAAGGCTGCCCCTTTCTTCTGTAATTTGCTGGGGTTTAACCCTTGCACTTTGCAGTACGTATCTGTTGCACATCCATGCCGTTTTGTGCTGTTTGCCAGAATCAAATGTTTGTATGGTGCAGTGAGCCAGTGACTGAACAAAATGGAGCAAGGACTGCATAGCAACGCTCATCACTTGTAGAAATAAGTTCATTGCACTTAATATGAAAACAAAAACATATATGTTAACTATGCAGATGAAATTTTTGACCAGTCACTGATGTACTCGTTGCTTCCAGGCTTCGAAACAACCACAGATCGGTTCTAACCGGCTCTTCGGTTCAGCATACGTGTCGCAAATCTGGTCATAATTTCACGGAAGACTAACACCAAAGTCTGACAATTAAAAAGGGGCCTACTGACAAGCTCACTGCCGAGGGCGCCTTTAACAATGTCAAAGATGGTTAATCCGTCAGAGTATCAGTGCTGACATTAGGAATCCGACTTACAATCATGAGGTGTGTCAGCTGACAAACGTAATAAGCCTTGTCTACCTCTACTACTGGCCGACGGCACCCTGTGCTTGCGATCGTCGAATACTTGAATGCCAGCTTGGCAACTTGTTTAGTTTTTAATGGGTGACGAGAATGGGACACGAGTTGGCGAGGGCAGAATTTCTTTTTCAAGTGGATTGCAGGAGAAATTGCTGTTCTGACGAATGTACCGGAGGAACTGCAACGTCTTGGACGCCTGATGCAGTATTTTTCTTGGTATAGGAGAAGATCCATGACATGAGTAGTAGGTGCTCATACATAGCATCGGGTAGCCTGTGCCCTATGGTATTACTATTATCAACAACTGTTCCGTCTTGCATCTGAATATCTGATAATTGCAAGCAGATGAACTGTTGCCCAGCAAGCATCAGCGGCACTTTAATTTGATTTAGAGGGATGAAAACGGCCTGAAATGGGTGGAAAACCCCCTCTCCCATTGAATGTGCGAACATATGGAAACAAACAAACATAGAGGGAGAGCCAGAAAATTAAGTTAGGATTACGTGATCTAACATTCTCAAGTATGTATGTATGTATGTATGTAAAATCACACAATAATATACATGCACGAAGATTAGTCTAATATTCACTTGCATGATGTTAACATGTTAACATTAATAGGTAAAAGAGCTCTAACATATACTGTTAGGCATCATGACTAGCCAAAACGGGAGGGAACCCTCCTCTTCCATTTGATCCCGCAAACACAAAAAATGGACTGGACAAAATAGAAAGCGAAACTGGACGGGACAAAAAATTTCCCGACCATTTTCATCGAGTATGGACTATGGAGTCTCCTTTTCTCTCCATCGGAATTTCTAATCAAAACGACTTTTAAGGGCACCATGACTAGCCAAATCGGCCCATCATTCGTTCTTTGTTCGTATATTGCTGGGCCTGAAAATCCAACTCAGCCCAAGACAAGTCCACCGGTCCGGATTCCCGGAACAAACCGCTCTTTTGACCGTCTGTCCGTCTCCCTCGACTTGTCAAACAAGTCAAATATAGGCCGTGTTTAGTTGGCCTGAATCGGCGTCGACCGATTCACTGTAGCTATACTGTAGCTGCAGTGACGTTTTGTTTTTATTTGATAATAATTGTCCAATCATTGATTAATTAGGCTCAAAACGTTCTTCTCATAAAGTATAACCAAACTGTGTAATTATTTTTTTGATTTCGTCAACATTTAGTACTCCATGTATGTATCACAAATTTAATGTGACGAATAATCTTCTTTTTACGTAGGGTGGAATTTGGTGTAACTAAGCACAGGGCCATACTGCCTCCATCCCCCAGAAAACGGGCCAAGCCTCTGGCACTGGGCCCCACGGCAATGAACATCGCCCGCAAGAAAAGCGCAAAAATCAAAAGAAGCAAACAGTTGAAGCGGAATCACAGAGCCCCATCGCGTCGCCCCAAAGCCTTTACTCCTGCCAAGTACTTTTCTGTTCTTCCCCACTCCGTCCGCCCCCGCGGCTGCTTCTCGAGCGCTCTCCAAAACCCTCCTTAAACCCTAGCTTCCATACGCCTCCGAGGCCCCACATGGCCTCCTCGTCGCAATGGGGCGGCGCCGGAGGCGGCGGGACGATCGCTTCCAATCCCCGCGTCTGGATTGTCGCGGGCATCGCCGTCGCGGGCGTCATCGTCCTCGCGGAGGTCGCGCGGCGCCGCCGGCGGTGGCTGCGGGGCATGTCCGGCACGCCACCCGACGCTGGATCCTTCTGCGACCGCTTCGAACTCCACCCTCCGCCGCAGCCGCCGCCTCCCGCCGCTCGCCACCTTCTCTCGGGCCTGACGTTCGCCGCTAGTGACAAGTGAGTCCTGGAAGCTTCCTGCTCTGCTTGTCTGTTCTGTGCGATCCTGAGTTACCATCCATGTATTTGCCGTGTTTTAGCTTCGAGATCGAGGGCTGTGTAGCCGGGTTTGGGAACCCAGACTGGAAGAACACTCATGAGGCGGCGAGGCACACAGCAGTGGCTGTCACAATGCTGCGGAAACAGGGGGCCACCTGCGTTGGAAGGACAATCATGGATGAACTCGGCTTTGGGTTTGTTTCTTTTATTGCTTCGAAGTGATTTCATTTGAAATGGTAGTTACTCTTGTGAATTATTGGCATCATTGATACTCGCACAGCTCCAGGATGTAAGCTTAATGGTGCATATAAGTAGATGTAATAGGCAAGGTCAAAATGGTTAAATATGACACCGTAAATATGAAATATATCTTTGCAACTCAGTTTTTTTCATGCGACCATATGATCTACATTGCTTGCACATGGAAAATATTACAACAATACCATTTTCGCATTGAAATGGTGTGTCCAAAAAGTTCCTTCTGGAGTAATTGTGTTTCCCTTCTAAGTTTACATATTATTATGTGACCAGACCTTAAACCTTAACAACGACATGGCTATTTGCACAAACATCAATAAATTAATATTTTTGTTGGCAAAACCCCCTTTACTATTTACATGCTTATCGTAAATTCATTTACCATGTTTTTCAGTGTCACTGGAGAAAATTTGCACCATGGAACACCTGCCAACCCTGTTTCTCCTTCACTTGTCCCTGGTGGATCATGCAGTGGCTCTGCTGTGGCAGTTGCTGCACAACTTGTTGACTTTGCTATTGGTATTTCAGAAAGATTTCTACCCACTTCTTCTGATTATAAACCCCCACTTGTCCATGTAAATGGAACATTTTCTGTTATTTTTCTGCTGCATCATGAAGATAATGCTGTCTGTGTGTAATAGTGTTTTTTTACTATACCTTTCCTAATATTACTATACATGTGTTTCTTCTACACAGTTAGGTTTAGTATTTCACTTTTGCAATTTTATTTCTGAGTCTTCGTCCAGTATGTTTTCTTTTTGGAAATGAACCAAAATGAAATGTTTGGCATCGCGCTAGGATTTGTAGATGACTAACAGTTATCTGTCTGTGGAAATTAATTAATTTTTAACCTTGCTAGTTTGGTCTGGTTTGGATGCATGTCACAGTGACACAACATTTTGTCGGTACAGTATATTATCCTGAATAGTTGGTTATGCCCTTGAGTTTGTTGTCGTTGAGTCTTCTCTGAAAATTTTCCTCCTTTCTAATGGTATATCATCAAGAGCATATGTTGGAGAAGTCATTCCACCATGTCTACTACTGTAATATATTCACACTTCTCTTTTACGATGCACTTTATATTGTAATACAAAGTTCAACCCATACTCATTTTGTTTGTATACAAATCCTTGATCCGAGCTAAGCTCAGTTCTTATGTCTTGCTCTTCCACTTCTCCATGTTCTTTTTCCTATTCCTGACCTGTTAACCTCTGAAATTCTTGTAGGCACTGATACAATTGGTGATGTAAGAATCCCAGCTTCTTTCTGTGGTTTACTTTGTTTTAGGCCTTCCTATGGTGTTATATCTACTCTTGGGACCATAGCAAATTCACAAAGTCTAGACACAATCGGTATTTTCTTGGCTTTCTCAATATTTTTTGTTCTTATATTTATTAATTACTTTGAGAAGAATTTTCATGTCTTCTATGACACAAGTTGAATACCTTTTTTGCGAGCATGTAGTTGTACCATGTGTACAAGGATTGTAAATGATACTAAATTTACTTTTAATTTAAGTATGAAAAAAGTAAGAACGCGTAACTCGTCACAATACATATGGTACATAATATCTGATGAACAAAGTTTTCTGGAGCATAAGTAACTAATGGTGAATATTATCTAACAAAGTAATTCATATGTTGAGAGACCAATTAAGACTTCTGATTCAGCCCTGTCTTTGTTCTTTACAGAATATCACTGTATATATTAGAACACCATTATCTCAGTCCTCAGAAAGCCAGTTATCGATGCCAGTGTCAAATGGCAGCATAGTTAGATTTATAACAGATTGTTTATTATTTCACTTGATTTCTGCACCTTGTTAGGATGGTTTGCACGAGATCCATGTATTCTGCATCGTGTTGGAGTTCTTTTACCAGCTGCTGCAGGTGTACTTAAGCAAACAAGGCAAATTGTTTTTGCCGATGATTGCTTTCAGCTGCTAAAGGTCTCTAATCAGAAAACTGTGCATGCCATAAAAAATGCTGTCCAGGCATTACGTGGATGTAAGTCATAGTGATGTGTCTTTTTCTTTAATTCATATATTTGTTACTTCACTGAGCTAGATCTGCCACAAATTAATCCCATATCTTGCAGATCAACCACCTAAACACATTAATCTTGGCCAATATATTTGTTCCAATGTACCTAGCCTGAAGGAGTTTTGCGAACCAGCTACAAAGTTACAAGAAGGAACATCAGCCTTGAAAGCAATCTCCACAGTGATGATGTTATTGCAGAGGTTTGTTTGCAGTAATTATTTGCTCCAGTTTAGACAGTTTGGCTCGGGGGAATGGAGTGGGTGGGTGGTTGGAATGTCAAAAATAAGTACACAAGGATAGCTGACTAGGTAGTAAAGACCTTGAAAACCTAAAATCTTCATCTATTAATACCAGAGATGAATTTTGTTATGAGCTAGTCAAAATGTGCTCTGATCATACCACTTTCTGGGATATGCCGAGTTGACTAGGTCTTTATGAGTGAACCATCACTGGCTGGTTGGGGCACCATTTCATCAGGTAGTTAAAGTTTACCCTATGCATGGACTGATGGACTGTATTAATGATGCACTTCTTGTACTTTGTGAACTCTTGGATGTCTGGCTTACTGAGTTGGAACCCGGCCCTGCCTGTGATTGATTAGCATGATTAACAGCAAACTTTTCTATGCTGTTAGGAAGATTATTTTTTTTCCATCTTGCATAGCTTACGCTACATGCCACTTTCCAAGCAGCTAAATTCTTGTGTTTTTTATAAAAGTATAGATATTGTTCAATAGGTTAATGCTAGGAAAATTATTGTTTGCTGCGCAGTTGCTATTATTTCAGATCTGGATTTATTTTATTTTATTTTATTTTATTGCTTTGTAGTTTCTATAATTCAACATGAATAAAAAACTACCTTGGGACTTACATGTCAATAAAATTTTCAGATATGAGTTTAAAGTAAACCACGAGGAGTGGGTTAACACTGTTAAACCTAAGCTTGGCCTTGATATCTCTACTCGTGTGCTACAAGCTGTGAATCTTGCACATGAAAACATCAAATCTTTGTACGCAATAAGAAATGAATTGCGGGCTGCACTCAAGAATCTTCTAAAGGTAGCCTTTCACAAAACCCTTCTCTTAATCACGCTTTTAACAACAGATGCTCCCTGTTTGCATCTTACTGGCTCCTTTTCTAGAAACTTCATGCTGTTGTAACTAATGAATAAGGCAGTGAGTGGCGGAAGTCTGCTTCCTGCAAGACTAGGGCCACCGTCCAAGTGTTTGAACCATCCATATCGGGTACTTATGGCAACACTCCAATACCGGTTGCTTGGTACAATAGACTATTGGCATACATTGGGGGCACTTGATTAAATTGTTGTTGATCTCTCCAATATGACTTTCTTAGAATCCAGTCTTTCTGCATGCTCATGACAGTACCATACCTTTTGGCCTTTGGACAAACTGCAATGTGCAAATACTAACAGAGCAAGGCAACATCCAGATAAAATTTATTAGCTGAAACAGGAAGGGAAAGCTTAACAAGATGCAATGCAAGTAGAATCAGATTTCAGCGTGTGCAATGATTCAAAGAAATTGAATCAGACAATGGTAGGGAATGCATTTTCGAGAGAAAAAAAAAGGGAATTTGGGGGTAGCAACCTGATTGGGGTGGACCGATGCAGTTATTCCCTATGGGATGCTCACTTGCTTGCGCCTTGCTATCACCTGCTGCTCCTACAGTCCTGTCTGGCTGCCCCAGTGTGCCTCCTGGTGCCTGGTGGGGATCACCCTGCGATCTGCCTGCGTCGGCGCCTAGCGTGCTGCAGAGTGCAGACCTGCGGTGCCAGTCTCTATAGGCTGTTGCAGTGCTGCTCTCCATGTAATATTGCTCCTGGTCCTCTCGTGGCTCCGCCTCCGTGCTGTGTGTGTGTCATGCTACAAGGACGCACACCTTCAACTTCATGCTCTTCAGAAGTCTGGCCCTCCCTGTGCTGATGCGCCTGGTGCGGACAGCAGCACGCCCGCACAGCAGCTGCGGTTGCAGCACGACTTGCACAGGCGCAGCTTGTCTGGGTGTGCCCCTCAGGATAGTAGCGTACTCCCTCCGTTCCAAATTATAAGTCGCTTTGACATTTTCGGTACATTCATTTTGCTATGTATCTAGACATACGTTAGATCCAACTACATAGCAAAATGGATGTACCAAAAAAGTCAAAGCGACTTATAATTTGGAACGGAGGGAGTAGCTAGGGTTTGCTGGTGTGAAGGGAGGGGGCGAGAAAGAGATGTCGAGAGTTAGACGCACAGGTTAGGGTGAGCAAGAGATGCTGAGTGGGAGATGCATTGGGCGGAGTGAGGCAAGGGATGGCTGGGGCGTCAAGGCCTCAAGGGATCGTGAGCGAGCTAGATAGGGCGATAGCTGGTGGCTGCTAGGACCCCTACCACCAATCGCTGCTTGGCCTGCTCCTGCAGATGGATAAGGGCATCCTACAGCAGCATATAGGGCCATAGAATACAATGGGACTATTCGGATTTTTCGAGCCATGTCTCGGGCGACAACCCAGTGGCTCTAGGCCCATGCCGCCCATCTCGCCTCGTTAAGACAACAAAGCGTTTTAATTAACACGTAAAATTTTGATTCTATGAAAAAGGAACTGATAATGGATCCTACATTTATCATTTGTTTATAGTAGACCCAGACGAAATGATAAAAATGTGTGCATGTGTTATTTTTTTATCAATTCCTTTAAGTGACCATATTGATCACTTGAGAATTCCTTCATATTGCTGTACCATGTGCTAATTTATGATAAATCTTGTCAAAAAGTTCATTATTAGATTGAATGAAGGGTTTGTCCATGATATCTTTGCTTTTAACTCTTCGTTTCGTGTGGTGCTATCTAGGATACTGGAATTTTAGTTCTACCAACAACAGCTGGATATCCTCTAAAGAGAAACTCGAAAGAAAGATTATCATCTGGATTTGAGGATAGAATGTACAAATTTGTAGGCATTGCTGCACTTTCTGGCTGTTGTGAGGTAAAGCAGTGTAATTTCATTATCTTATTTTATTCCTCTTGAGAATAATATAAAAACTATGTAAGACTCCTCTCACTTTTGCAGGTTACTATTCCCATGGAAAATCTGGATCATCATGTGTCTCTTTCATTTGTAGCAGCACATGGATTGGACAAGTTTCTTCTTCGCACTATCTTGGATACATATTCTCTCATCCAGGACCAAGTAGTTTTGGCATCCAAGTTGGAAACTGCACCAGTAACTAATGTTGATGTTGATGTCAATGCATCAGAGCTTCTGAAAGAAAAGGTCTGTTCAGACTTCAGACAATCTCTCTCTTCTCTTGATTTTTTTATGACAGCGAACAATCTGTTTGACCCTTGATTTTTTGCTTGGAGAGAGTAGTATTATGGAATTGAAAGATGGGTTGCATGAGTTAGATTAATCCTGAATAGACCTTTAGCACCCTTTGTCCAGTCCCTATCTTAAATTGATCAGAACCATTTCTTGATACCAGTCTTTCTACTAGAAGATGTCATCACCAATGTTTTTGAGGCGCCGTGGCGAGGCGCCGCGCCCGACCCCCTTCACAACGCCTAGGCGTTTATGGCGGACGCCTAGGCGACGCCATACACACGTTGTAAGGCGCTGTAAGCTAGAGTTTTATTTAGTAAGTGCAGCACATACATACCTGGTTTGTTCCCAATTCTGGAGCCCAGGTTCCTTTCTTCCCTTTCCAAAAGCTCTTCTCCCATGTAGCATCCATCCCCCTTGAAGCAAACTACATGACAATTCCAAAATTCAGCAATCTATGACATGAAGAAATGTAAATGAACATGTTACATTGTTACCAGCTGCTGAGAATTAAATAAGAAACAATACACAAGAGGCAATACAACAAATTAGCAAGCATTAGTGGCTTAGTGCATTAGTTCATGCATCCTCCTTTTCCAAAACCTCCACAATTTCATCTTCTGGTTCCCCATCCTCCTCAATACCATCCAAGTACAAAGGCCTTCTTCTCTTCTTTTGCAAGTAAGCTTCCATCTCTTTCCTGATTTCAGTGCTAACTTTTGGACAAAGGATAATATCTCCATATCCACCAGCCAAATGTTGCTTGAACCTCTTTATGCCTCCTGAACCCTCATGTCCACACAGGATACATGTCACCCAGTCTCTCCTAGCAGGGTCCTGCCAGTAGCCATATTTCCAGCCTGGATCATTGGACTTTGCTTTCCTTGCTGGATCAGTCTTGGGATCATACTCAGGTACTTCAACTGTGCTTGCCATGTTGCTTGCTGGATCAGTCTTGGGATCAAAGAAAGATCTGTGCTTTGTGTTGTAGCAGGGTGTGTGACAGCCCAAGCACAAGCAGGCATTTGTATATGTGAGTACCCATATAATATAAAAAGCAAGCATCAGCAAAAGCAGAGCAGACAGCAGAGTGCAGAATAAATATTAGAGAAGGGAGGAGGCAGGGACAGGCATCCAGCATGAGCATACAATATTCCGATTGAGGTCAATAGCAGAGCACGAGAACGAGGCATACAATATTCAGATCAAAAGCAGAGCAGCAGGCATACGAGGCATTACTATATTCACAGAAGCAGAGTAGGCAGGGGCATACCACAGGCGGCAGCGCATGACCGGAGGCAAATGCTGGAGGGGGCTCGAGCTGGCGAGCGGAGGCAGCTTCTTCTCGGTGGAGGCCGGCCGGTGGACTCGAGCTGGCGAGCGGAGGAGCAGCGAAGCGGAGCAGGAGGTCCGCCCGCCATCATCACATTCTCTCTAGTCCTATAAAATTATGGGTCCTTAATTACAGCCTGTTTGTTTCGGTTGAAACGATCGTGGATTATTACTGCTGGCTGGTTTGGTGTGAGAGAAAAATACTGTTCTGGCTTATAATCTACGATCGTTTACGACCAAGCAAACAGGCTGTTAGTATTTTATAGGAAACATGGTATGGCCTTGTTTCCTATTCTAGACTTCAGAAAGTTTTTTTCCAGGTAGAGTGTGGGTATGATACTGATATAAACTATTCTTTGCATGTGTGATTGTATACATTTAGTCTTGCCTGAATCTGTATCGTAGGGCAACTTGGGGCCTGCTTGGTTCCGTCGCCGAGCACTGTTACACCTCGCCGAGCGAGGATAGCGAGTCAGTGCGGGTGTTTGGTTCTTTTGCCTGGACACTTCGAAGACCGTGCGAGCAAGATTTGGCTTGCTTCGTGGTAGAGCCAAATCGGCTCGCTCGGCGCTTGTGCCGATGCAGCGAGGCGAGGCGAGCTATGCCCAGAACCAAGCAGCCCCTTGATCTTTGTTCTCAGCATTAAAATACTAGATAAAAAGTATGAACACATACTGAACCAAAATTATGAACATGCAGATGGCTACTGTCTTATGAAGTGGTTGTGGTACAAGAAAGTTATTTGAGTTTTTGCTGCCACCAACTTAAAGCAACCGAGTTCATTTCTTCAGCTCATGTTCATTTCAAACTAAATCAGTCTGTGCTCCCTTGACAGGGAAATAGTGCTTTCAAAAGAAGACAGTGGAGCAAGGCAATTGAGTTTTACTCAGAGGCCATCAGTTTGAGTGACACAAATGCAACATATTACTGCAACAGAGCAGCAGCTTATCTGGAACTGGGCCGGTATAATACCAGCCATATTTTTCTGCTCAAAGTTTTTCTGAAGTTAGTACACTAAATCTGGCATATTTTATCTTATGTAGTCTTAAGCAGGCCGAAGCAGACTGTGATCGGGCCTTACTGTTGGATAGAAAGGTAAGAGATTTTTGTAGATGCAATATTCCCATGCTGTTATGGGTGACATTTCTGTACCATTGTCAACCCTAAGAGAGGAGTTTCTTAAGGTTTATTGGATAGTTCTGGATGATTCTGATATTGTGCTGTTATGGCAACATCAAATCCTTACTGTGAATTTCATTTGTTGCTTCAGAATGTTAAAGCATATCTACGGCGTGGTTGTGCAAGGGAAGTAACTTTGAATTACAAAGAAGCACTTCAAGGTGGGGCAGTTTTTTCTGTCATTGCATTAATTCTTAGCAGCTTATCGTAAAACACTAAAGTTGACATTTTATTGTGCTGATTGTCAGCAAGTTGCACCCAGCAGTGTTTTTGGTTGAACATGCATACTTTTTTTTTTGGAATTTTGTGTGCTGTACTTTCTTTCTCCTCACTCTTGGAGGATGGGTCTTTATTGATTTATATTATTTTATTGTTATGAAGAGTTTTGTGATTCTATTATGAATGAGCTGTCAGAATCAAACTAGTTCCTGCGTTGCTTGAAGCCATACTATCACAGTGTTATACTGTCTACTAAAATGCACTATGCACATAACCTTATGAGAAGAGCCTGCCTCATTTGCTCCTTGCTTAATCTGTTGCACTTGCAGATTTCAGGCATGCTTTGGCTTTGGAACCACAGAACAAAACAGCCCTTGCAGCGGAGAGGAGGCTGCAGAAACTCCTGAAGTGATATGGGGAGCAGGACCACCTCCGACTTTAAATTTTTGGAAGACTCGCCTGGTTGTAGGCAATTTTGATCGGCTGCTTGTAAAAGGAAGAAGTGTCCGTGCTTGCGGATAAACTATCCAAGAGCCATTAAACTCTTCTCCGTTTGGGGTCATTCAAAATTTGTATCTCACGACGATTGTGAGGGGATTTTGATATAATCCGACAGCAGAGGTCGTGTCACATTGAGTATATAGGCCTGGCAGCTTCTTGCGACGGGAATCCGACTAATTTGTACTGTGAGATCTCTCCGGTGCCGTCCAGTATGGAAAGCGTCGATCTTGTATTATATGATACAATATATGCACTGTAGACCTGAAGGTCTAGAACACACTTGTGACTGTGAGTTGTGACTTGTGAGCAGTTGGCACTGCTGGAGTGCATGATTGTGCAGTGCAGTGCAGTGTCTAATTTTCGGGGCGTTGATCCGTTGCCCCTGCGGGCAGTTGCCACCAGACACCACTGCTTGCCGTTGGAGATCCGTGACACTTGTGCAAAGTTCTCTGCCCCTTGAATTCACGTTTAGTTTCCTTCCTATGAGGCTGTGACAAATATGTTGAAAAGTTGATCAGCTAAATAAGAAGAAATTTGTACCTGTCTATTCTATCGGCCTCATGTATCCGCAAGCACATACAGTAGCTCCCTTCGTTTTCCCGTATCTCTCTTTGTCAAAGGAACAAAACACGTCGCCGACACGGACCGCCAGTTTGTCGCCTCCTTGGCTCCTTCCTCCGTGCGCGAACGTTTCTTGCGCCGCGGCAACACTTGGGCGCCTTGCATAGCTGCACTTCTCTTGCTTTCCTCCACGGACTAGCGCTCTCTCTTCTCCGCTCCCGCAGCAATGGAGACGCGGCAGCGCATGCAGCAGCTCCGCACGCCGATGGACCCGCTGGCGTGTCTCGCTGTCGTCGTCGTCGTCGCAGCAGCAGGGCTCCAAGTTCCTGCTCCTGCCGCTCCCGGTCGCGGCGGCGCGCGCGCTCACCGTGCTCCGCCGCCTCCTCCTTCTCGCCACGCAGGTCTTCATCTCCCTCTTCTTCATGCTCCTCTCCGCGCTCCCGCCTGTGCCGCCGCCAGCGGTCGCGCCCACGCTGCCGCGCATGGAGCCGGGGTGCTCTGCGGGAGACACCTGCGTGGGGCGCGCGCTCGCGCACGTGCTGTCCGTGGCGTCCAGGCTCCCCGTGGCCTCCCGCAAGTACGAGCTACTGCGGGGCCTCGCGGAGCGGCTGCTGGACGACACGCGCTCGCGGGCGCGTTCGCGCGCACGCTGCGGCAGCTGGAGTCCGCGGCGGGAGGAGAGTGGCCCGGGATGGAGCTGGCCGCGCGCGCGGTGCGGACGGGGATGCGGTGGTGGAGGCCGACCGCGGCGTCCTCGCTGGACGACGAGGGGTTCGGCGGGCCCGCGGCGGAGAAGCTGGCTGCTGAGCTACTGTGGCTCGGGCAGAAGATGGCGGAGTGCGGCGCGCTGCGCGAGGCCGTCGTGCAGTTCGGCGCCGCGGAGAGGCTCGGGAGCCGCGCGCTCTTTGCCGAGCCCGCGCTCCAGGTCTCGCTGCTTCGCGTTGCCGGTATGTCAAAAACTCTTCATTTTTTTTTGCCGAGAGCGCTGCGGAACTTTCTCTGGTCCAAACCTTGCCAAGACCGCATAGAAAACACAGTAGTATTGTGAATTCGTGACCGTTTCACGAGTGCTTGTGCTGAAAATCGACGTGGCTGGATCTTCACGCACGTCGTTTGTGGCGGGAGAAAATGCGATGCCCATGGTGTGGCGGACGAGGGCCGAGGAGGAGATGACGTTTCCGTGGTCGCGAGGGCTGCAAACATGGGTAGGGTAGGAACGAGGATGGTTGAGCTTTGTCCCTAGTGTTGCCCTTTCACACCTCGTCGGCTCGTCGAGGTCGACCGAGGTGTCACCATGATACGTACAGTACCATCGATTGAACAGGTGATAAGCATGGCTGATACGATCACGCAAACGTGTGAACCGGCACGTTTTTGCTGTGCCTGCAACCTGCATTAATAATGGGTTAATGAAGCACAGAAGAAAACAGGAATTTGGAGATCAGTTACATGTCCACTTACTACATTAATTCATGCGCAGTGTTCTTGTTCAAGCACGCCAACTCGAGGGAATTCGAGCAGAGCGCGGGAGGGAAGGGTGACAAGGCCGCGGTCGCCGAGCAGCGGATGGCGATGCTGCGGTCGTGGCCGCCGCTGCTGTGCCGCGGCATCAATGGCACGGACGCACCGGTGCTGACGTGCCGGGAGCGGCCGGAGATGGTGGCCGTGCTGGAGGACCTGATCGACAAGCTCAGCTGGGAGCAGCGGGAGGAGGTCCTCTCGCTCTGGCTGCACCACTTCGCCGCCTGCCCCGACACCGACTGGCCCACACGATGGTACGCCGAGTCGCGCAGGCTGCTCGCGTAGCGCGTTAACTGAAGAAAGAATGCAAATCTTATAGGATGGTACTCCGTATAAATGCAAATCTTATAGGATGGTACTCCATATAAATACTTTAGTATCTGTATATATGTAAAAATCTTATATGATAGTACTCCATGTAAATATGTAATAATACTTCAGTATCTGTATATATGTACCTGTGCAGTAGTATATAGCAAAACGGGAGTTCTTATTGACATCACACTGAATTTCTAATTTCCATGGCACACCAACTTTCTGCATGACAGCAGAGTGACAATACTCCTATTGTGATGCCACCAAGGCCCCAAAACGCAGAAGTCATCATACATACAGTACATATTTCAGAACACAAGACACTGCTCAATACACCAGAAACTTTATTCCTCCAAAGAATTGGGCTGTAACAACTCAAAATAAGGCGTGCAAGCAAGGATGTACTTATTCTAAAGAGGAGGATACAAAGAGTAATACAGCCGTTACAACATATTCTGGGTGTTCATATCCTGATCGCTCTACTGTACTGTACATATATCCCTGCGGACAAAAAAAGTTACACTTCATCTTAGCTCACTTGTAGAGTTTGTCCTTCCAATCGCACTTGGTTCTCCAATCGAAACGGATGCTAATGATTTGGAAGCCCAAGCAGTAGCGTTCATTGCCCCCTCCTGCAAATTTCCTCGCTTTGAATTTGAAGGGTATAGCCTATGAAACTTCTGTCTTGCTTGCTCAAGGTAGGTGAGGAAATATTCATGTGCCCCCATCAAGTTTGCAAACAGATTATGCCTCCTCCATGCCCATCTAGCAAAGGAATCTATCTTTGGGAAAAGACGATACAGCAACCTCAAAATAACGAATGCAGTCGCCAATGCTAGATAAGTATCCTGCTGAAGTATTTTCTCTGGTGACCGAGCCCACCAGAACGGGCAATTTTCCTGTTCGGCATCCTTTTTATGCTCAATATCATCCAAGGGATGTACCATGGCCTCCCCTGAAGTTGACTTCACCAAAGCACTGATACCTTCATCACATAAATTTACCATTTGTAACTGACTTAAGCATAGTAAGAACCAAGAACAAGGTTAAAGTTTCTGGAAAAGAAAAACCCCAAGTAAGCTGGGAAAAGCCAGGCTCACAATCTTACATGGATTAGTTGTTGAATGTGCAAAGCAACAAGTATGACTTATAACAATCATGCTACTAAAATCATCCCAATAAAAGAGAACAGTTGTTGTTCAATAAGGAAAAGAAATAACACACCTGAGACATCAGTGTAGAAAGCTGCAAGTGATTTAACAGTCCTTGGTCCATGGTACCGTACTCTCATGGTTGAATTCAACAGAAAGAGTGTTGGGAAACCATGAATGCCGTATCTCGATATTATGCTGCAGTTTGCAGTTCCAGCATCAAATTAATATTCCACCAAAAATAGATGTATTGCAACAAGAAATACTTTTTCTTTACACTATACAAGGACAAACCTTGGCCTTATTGCAAATTCCTCAAATGCAAAATGTCGAATAGTTGGGAATAAGGAAGCCAGTGTCTCAAAATTTGGTTTGCATTCTTGTGAGAATGGGCACCACGAGGCATAGAAAAGTACAACAATATAGTCATCCTTGTTTGCATGAAGAAGATTAACTGCCTTTGCCAAAGTGACCTCATCTCCCTGAAAGGATAAAAATCAGTCGGATTCAAATTTTACAACTACAACTGGTGGAAAGTCCTAATGCTCAGCAGCTCAGGTGGGAGAAAATCGAAAATATATAGGAATAGTGTTTTTTTTTTATTTGCTTTGATATAACATAAGCAATATATAGCTGCTAAAAGTCTAAACCAATGAACAGAAGCAATTATTTACACATAACCTGAGAACCACCAACAAAATAATACTCCTACTAATTATGAACCGCAGACAAGATTTTTTTTTTCCTCCTCTAACTTTGGAATCCCAACTTTTCGTGCCAAACAATTCGAATCACAAATCATTTGCTTAGTTTCCACTCCATCAACACAATTATATGGGACCTCTAAGTATGGTAATGGAACGAACAAATTCGCATACATACAATTTTTCGGCTATTTTATCACAACGCTGAAAATATCTCACCTCGATGACGCCGACCGGGTCGCCAAGGCGGCGATCCAGCGTCGAGCACGTGTCGGGAGTCCCAAGGACGGATTCCACGATAGTAGGCACAAGGCACGCATCGTGGGGCGGTGATGCGGCGGCGGCGGCGGCGGAGCCGGAGGTACCAACGCCGGCCAGGAGAAAGGGGAGGAGCAGCGCTGTCCAACACGGCAGCCGCCGCGCCATGGGGCCGCAGCGGGTAAAGGCCTAGAAGAGGGGGCCGCTCGGCCCTAGATCTGGGCACCTCGAGGCGCGGCGGTGGCCGCGGTTCGCAGGGCTGCGCTCACCGCCGGGAGGGCGCTGCCGCGGCGGCCACGGCGACTCGGGCGGCGGGCGCGACGGTGGGTGCGGGGGTGGGTTCGGTGTGCGTGTGAGGCCCGCGTCGTTGGGGGTCGCTTTATCGGGTTCGGGTCCTAGCT